CCGTTTATAAATTATTCTTTTTCTCTTCCTTAAAAAGCTCTATGAGGTGACCTTTTGGTATTCTCATTGAGAAATTACAACTAGTAAGACCCAATCCCACCACCATCCAGCCCAGACACCGACCCTCATTCCCCAGCTACTTCCACCAACACTTTCCAAGTACTCACCACCACTAATCAATCCAACTTGAGCACTCACTGGATTTCTTGTTCTTTAAGTGAGTTACCATAAATGATCAAATGTTTAAAATGAATCTTTTTTATTTTTGAAGTCGTTTGTTAAAAATTGTCATAAAAGTAACATTTATGGAGGAAAAAAATCACAGTCCTACAGCAGTTCTTATGTTGTGAACAACAGAAACCAAGTTGGGCTATTTAATCAGAAAAGGAATTTCTTGCAAGGCTATCAGATAGCTCGCAGAATCCACAGGGACCAGGCTCAGAAATCCAGGAAGGAGCCAAGGTAAGCTGGGTACTGGGACCTCTACCAAGGTCATGCCACTGGAGAAACAGGTGCCTGGTTACCAGCCTTGGACACTGGTTGCCTCTTTATCCTAATGAATTGTAAGTTGCCCGGCTACTTTGCATCAATGGCTCCAGCCTGAGTCCTGGGCAGGAAGGTCAGTGGGTGGAGGTCATGGGTTCCCCAGCAGCTGGCATTCAGAAGTGCAAGCGTCCGGCCTCAGAAGCTTCCACAGCTGGAGGTGGGGCTCTGCCTCTCACCAAGACTCACAGAAAGGCAGATAAACCAACCCCCAAAAGAGTTTGAATACTGCAGGTACTGGTAGCCAAACCCAAACAAGAAACTAGAATAGCTTCCTCTTCACAAAATTCGACCTATGTACTCTCCAGATATAAAGTGGAAAAGCAAAGTCTCCCTCCTTCCCATTCCCACTGCACTCAATGGAAGTGCCTACTGTAAACAGTTTTCCGTATATCTTTTCAGAAATTTTCTATGTAACTACCAATATGTATGTATGATCCCCCAGGTTTTTAACACACACACACGCGCACACACACACACACACGTGCCATACATATTATTCTGCAACTTTTCACATGACAATGCATCTATTTTAAGATGCTCTCTCATTCAAAATGTTCTCCCCTCTTGCTCCAAATCATTCATGGTTCATGCAGTTTTCTCGTAGTCACATTCAGAACTTGATCACTATAGCCTGTTGGGCCCAGATAGCCTGAATGCAGGACTGATCAGAGGGCTCCCTTCAGCAACCTGGATACTCACATATTACTATAGTGTACCTGTAATGAACTTCAAAATACTTCAACACAGATGGTGTGACATTATGTACATACTGGCTGGCCCAAGCTACAACCTCAGGACGATCAAGAATTCACATTCCAGGATAGTCAGCTAGCACCTATGAGAAAGGCCATACTCCAGAAGCTGCTTCCTTTATCTCTACCTCCCAACAACATCCCAGCGACTTTGCTAAATTGGCATAGTGACAACTCAAAATGAAAACATCCTGCCTCTCAAAAAGTCCTGAAAAGACTAACCAGTCCCCTCCCAACCTCCACCACCAAAATGCTCCCTAACCACCCTGAAGTTAAAAAGGGAAGACTACAAATTTCTAGAGAATAAAAACGAGTAAGAGAAATTTAAGACAAAAATAAAAGAGAAACCATAAGAACTCACTCAGGACCTAGATTTCTTATTAAGCACAATGGCCATGGGGATATAGGGTGAAGCAGACAGACAAAAACCCCATCCTCACAGAACTATCTACTGGGGTAGACAGACAACTAGTGATTGAATAGCACACAGGCTAACTACAGGCTGTGAAACCAATATTCAGTGCTGACGCATGGCGAGGGGTAGGGATGAGGGACCACTGTAATCAGAGTGGTCAGGGAAGGCCTCTCTCAGGAGGTGACTGCTAAGCTGGCTCAGAGGAGAAGGAGCCAGCCAAGCAAACAACTAGAGGAAGAAGGTCCGAGTTTGTGTGTCCCAGCCTGGCTGTGTCAGTGCCAAAAGGTACTCCTGTGGGCAGAGTATGGGACATGAAGGGGATAAGGGCCGGAACTCTGCCCAGCCAAGCCTGGCTCTACAAGAACACAGATCCACAGGGCTCCACTGGCTTCTCTCATGGAGCATGACCTCCCACCAAAAATCATCCATTGGTACATTCCCTAAACTCAGGAACGGGAGGGGGCAGGTAGGCAAAAAAAAAGGTAAAGAATCCAGTAAGTAGGGGGAGGGATGGTGGTAGAGCCAGCCCTTGGTGTCATGAGATTATCCCCTTTGTTCAGAAAAGAAAACTAGACTCAGAAAAGTTAAATGGTTTGCACAAGGTTATACAGCCTTTGGAGAATGAGCTAGGAGTCAAATTAGTAGTGTCTGACTAGCCTGTCCAGTTTATTTCATTATATCACATGATTTTTTCATTTTTTAAAACATAACAAAAGCATTTGGCACAGGTTAGAATGGTATACTACTAAGATTCACATAGACTGAGGATTTTTCATTTATGAGATTGACTAAGGCTCAAATGATCTATTGATGTACTCGGAAAGTTTTCTCCTATACAATTCTCATCAATTAATTTATCTTCTTTATAAATTGATGTAAATTAACATTTCAAAATAATCTCTATGTCACCTTTTGCAGCAGTCAAAATATAGAAGCTCAAATATCCAACAGGAAATACAGAAATATGAAAGAAAGCTTCTTGGCAATTTTAAGTGACAGGTAGTGTAGGCTCCTCGTACGTGAAAAATTATTTACTGATATGAACTTAATTAAATTAATATTAAACAGAAAAAGCAGAGCATAACATATGATGTACAAACTGGTTACAACTTTGTGACCAAGAACATATACTTACCAACAAAAATGAGAGAGAAGTTTAAAGGAATATAATAAAAATACATTTTTATTAAGGTAACTTTCATTTAAAGTTGCTTGAGCTCACATAATAAATTTATAAGGCACCTTTCCAAAAGAAAACAATGTTAAAGAAATTAATGTCTTAAAAGGAGAGCTTTTTAAATATCTACCTACAAAATGAGTTCATAGTCACTTCACCATTTGGAATTTAAAAAGTACAAAAAGTATTAGAGATTTTCTGATTTTAATTTAATTTAAATACCTCAGGTTTGTATTACTGAGCATTTCAATATCAACCCAATGGAAAAAGATGACTCCTATAATCAAATATTAGTATAAACATTGAATACCATCCAAAATTCTTCTGCAGAGACTGTAAACCTAGAGACTTGTTGCAAAACAACCTCAGCCACTGGTAACACATGCCATAAAAGTCAGCCAAAGCCTCATTTTTTCATATCTTGCTAACATTTTAAAATACTGCATCAGTAATTTGTTCCTTCCAGAAATATTAGCATAGTTTCACTAAATGCAATAATCAATGGACTGGTAAAATGTTGCCTAAATTGTCTTGTGGGCCTGAAAACTCTTTAGTTTTTCAAGACCATCTACGCAGTATTAGGATCAATTTTTCTGACTATGCTACAATGTGCTTCTCCTTGTATTTAAGAATTTAACTAGTTTTATATTCACTACCCATCACCTAGCAAATAGTGGTCTGTTTAATATAAAGTGTTAAGTACATACACACAAACGGCAAGAAAATTATTTAACCCTATTTCAAAATGGATAGAAAAGTTAAAAAAAAAATCATATAGAAAAACATTTTTAAGTTTACTTTAAATTGAATTTCCTACATTCTCTATTTATTCTTGAAATTTAGCAACTTCATTGGTTATCATTTTTTATAGTATTCCTTGAATGTGAAGGGCATAGCAAATAAAAACAAAGGAAGGACATTGGGAATGTATAAAATGCCACTGAATTGTATACTTTTAAACAGTTAATTTTATGTCGTGAATTTAACTCAATAATGAAAAAAATAGTCACCAACTATGTCTATATCACCATAATATAGTATCTGTGTGATAGAGAATATAGAAAGCTTAAGCAATGAAATTCTGAGGTTGTTCAACCAAAGCATTATAACAATACGAAAATTATGTACTCATGATTAATATGAGATTTGCTTCAAAAGGATATGGAGGAAAAAAGAATATAGAGGGTAGGCGGAATATAGAGGGTGGGATCCAGCTGAACAAGACTGGCCATTAGTTAACACATAATCATTGAAGGCAGGTGATTGGGTACAGGGAGTGCATTATATTATTCTCTCCACTTTGCATATTCTTTAAAACAGGGGTCCTGAACCCCCAGACCATGGACCAGTATCGGTCCATGGCCTGTTAGGAACTGGGCTGCACAGCAGGAGGTGAACAGTGAGCGAGTAAAGGTTCACCTGTATTTGCAGCCGCTCCCTAGCGCTAGCATCACTGCCTCAGCTCCACCTCAGATCATCAGGCATTAGATTCTCATAAGAGCACCAGTCCCTGGTACCAAAAACGTTGGAGACCACTGCTTTAAAATGTCCACAGTAAATTGTTTTGTTTTGTTTGTTTTAATTATGCCTTTATGATAGGTCTAATCCTGGAATGAGAAACGCATGTTTACCATTGGGTATATAAGAAACTTAAAGTGAATCTTAAAATAGGCAAAATTATCATCCTACTTTACTGTTATGAGGACATCTGACCTCTAATATTGTCCATTGTTAACTTCTTTTTTTAATGAACGAGGAAGCTTGAACATTTCTTCAATGGTTTATCTAAACAGACTTCATAAATAGCACATTTTACAACGAGTAACAATTTATAAGAATAGTACATACCAGGAGTATCATAGGCCGTTTCCAAGTTGTTAATCCTATGATTCCAGAGAGTATCACCTACAAGGATAAACAGTATCATAAATCTAGAAAAGGAACCAATTCCAATAAACCATGCCCCAGTCTCTAAATATTTTTTAAAATACTGACATTTCAAAGCTTTCTAACTCAAACATTTAATAGTTTCTGCTGATTACCACTTTGGACTATCCTTCACGTCCAAGGCCCCAAAGGTTTTTTTATTGACTGTGTGTGTGTGTTTTATTTGAGGGCCAATTAAGAATCCAAACAGAAATTAGCCTATCCTTCCGGTTAGTAAAGGAATCAGTGTTTCTGATCCAGGCTCCCTGCACCCAGTAGCACCTAATCTGTTGCCAGAGTCAGCTACATAAGATGCACATCTCTTTGCAACCTTACCTTCAGTAGATGGATATCCATCTTTATGGAACAAGTAAATGCCTCAAAATAGTAAACAAGGCCCATAGGATCTTCTCCTGCCTACTTCTCAAGACTGGTTTCCACATATCCCTGGCCCTCCCACCACACATCTTCCTTCCAGGCACTCCTGTCCTTCCTTAGACAAGCCAGGCTCTAGATATTTCGAGGCTTTGCGCTTTTTTTTTGCTGCAGTGCCCTCTCCTCTCGATTTCCTCCGAGCTTCCGAGAACTCCTATGCATCCTGTAAGACCCCAACTAACAGTCACTCCCTCAGAGAAGCCTTCACCGATCTCACCATCTCACACCCCTGGAAGACTTCTAAATATAATTTTTTCCCAAAAAAGCTTTCTTTTGCATCTCTGTCTTGCTCACTCTGAATCCCGTCTCATTTCTGTGAATTTCCAGCTCCTAGTACAGTGCCTGTCACATGATTGGCAACTAATAATTGTTCCTGAGTATTTACTGCACAAAGAGGAGGGGCTACAGTGAGAAGATCTCCTGTTGCAAAGTGATACTTCAATAAACAAGCTAAAATCCTCTGTAAAGAGGAACGAGCATTTTGTAAAAATATAAACTAGAAACCAACATCAATCAGCCTTCGAATAACACATTTCACTAAGCAGTTGGAGAAGAATAATCAAACTAATTATTCAGCCCAGGGACATTCTGATGCCATTTGAGCACATTTACCTTTGTGTGATAAAGTGCACCTG